GTGAGGTGACACCGAGGGACATGGAGGTGACACTATGAGTGAAGTGACACCAAGGGACGCAGAGGTGACACCAGGGTTGTGGTGACACCAAGGGACACATGGACATGGAGGTGACACCATGACTGAGGTGACACCAAGGGATAGGTGGCCATGGAGATGCCACCACAGGTGAGGTGACACCAAGGGACACATGGACATGGAGGTGACACTGGTCCATCTGGACCAGTGTCCATCCAGCTGGGACCCATGGTCTGGTGTCCATCTGGACCAGTGTCCCCATCCACATCCGTGTTCCACCATCTCCCCATCCATGGCCATGTCCCACCACGTTCCCATCCATGTCCATGTCCCCACCCATGGTCAGGGGACAGGAGACAGGGTCCCCATCCATGGGTATGTCCTCATTCATGTCCATGTCCCCACGCATGGCCATGTCCCACCATGTCCCCACCCATGGCTATGTCCTCATCCATGGCCACATCCCCATCCATGGCCATGTCCACGTCCCACCATGTCCCCACCCATGGCCATGTCCTCATCCATGGCCACATCCCCATCCATGGCCATGTCCCACCATGTCCCCATCCATGGCCACGTGCCCATCCATGTCCACATCCCCATGCATGGCCATGTCTCACCATGTTCCCATCCATGGCCATGTGCCCATCCATGTCCACATCCCCATGCATGGCCATGTCCCACCATGTCCCCGTCCATGGCCATGTCCCCATCCATGTCCATGTCCCCATCCATGGCCACATCCGCATCCATATCCATGTTCCACCTTGTCCCCATCCATGGCCACGTTCCCATCCATGTCCATGTCCTCATGCATGGCCACGTCCCACCATGTCCCTATCCATAACCATGTCCCCATCCATGGCCACGTGCCCATCCATGTCCACGTCCTCCTGCATGGCCATGTCCCACCATGTTCTCATCCTTGGCCATGTCCTCATCCATGGCAATGTCCACATCCATGTCCATGTCCCACCATGTCCCCATGCACCACCATGTCCCACCATGCCCCCATCCATGACCACATCCCCATCCATGTCCATGTCCATGTCCATGTGCAGGTCCCACCATGTCCCCATCCATGGCCATGTCCTCATCCATGGCCATGTCCACATCCATGTCCATGTCCCACCATGTCCCCATCCATGGCCATGTCCACATCCATGTCCATGTCCCACCATGTCCCCATCCATGGCCATGTCCACATCCATGTCCATGTCCCACCATGTCCCCATCCATGGCCATGTCCTCATCCACGTCCATGTCCCACCACATCCCCCACATCCACGTCCCCATGCCGCTGCCCCCCACGGGTCCCCACCCATGCCTCACATCAACATCTTTATTTCTACTTCAACTTCAGGGCTTTCAACGGGATGAACAGAAACCTTTTCATTTCAAAACCAAAACGAAAGGATTTACATGTCCCTGCTGCCAGAGCATCCACGGGCTTGGACGGGTGGGAAGAACCTTTTTTGGGGGAGTTTCCACCCCACTCTCTCCAAAATTCTGGGGTTTGCCCCAATCCCACTCCATTTCGCTGTGGAAGATGCCCGTGGGCCAGAAATAAATAAAACAATGGATTGATGTTGGAGAAGACCTCCGAGGTTATCCAGTGTTGCTTAAGACCACCACAAAACCGAAAAACTAAAATTTTTCTAGGCTCAGAAGTTGACAAATCCAGCTCTCCACAACGGATGCCTGATGTTGGACTGTGGATGTGCCCAGGTGACCACGGCGAGCCAGGGAAGACCAACAGGGATCAGGGATCACCGGGGCTCCCTGGGGATCATCCAGCGCGGATCCTCCCGTGGGGTTTGGAGCTGGAGCAGCGCACGGAGCTCTTCCCGCGCTCTGGGCACTCACGGCGCTGCCCTCAGTGGTACTTCCACTGGTGTCTGGCCAAGAGGGAGCTCGCCGAGAAGCTCTTCCCACACTGGGGACACTCATCCATGGCCACGTGCCCATCCATGTCCACGTCCTCCTGCATGGCCATGTCCCACCATGTTCTCATCCTTGGCCATGTCCTCATCCATGGCAATGTCCACATCCATGTCCATGTCCCACCATGTCCCCATGCACCACCATGTCCCACCATGCCCCCATCCATGACCACATCCCCATCCATGTCCATGTCCATGTCCATGTCCAGGTCCCACCATGTCCCCATCCATGGCCATGTCCGGGTCCAGGTCCCACCATGTCCCCATCCACGGCCATGTCCTCATCCACGGCCATGTCCCACCACATCCCCCACATCCACGTCCCCATGCCGCTGCCCCCCACGTGTCCCCACCCATGCCTCACATCAACATCTTTATTTCTACTTCAACTTCAGGGCTTTCAACGGGATGAACAGAAACCTTTTCATTTCAAAACCAAAACGAAAGGATTTACATGTCCCTGCTGCCAGAGCATCCACGGGCTTGGACGGGTGGGAAGAACCTTTTTTGGAGGAGTTTCCACCCCACTCTCTCCAAAATTCTGGGGTTTGCCCCAATCCCACTCCATTTCGCTGTGGAAGATGCCCGTGGGCCAGAAATAAATAAAACAATGGATTGATGTGGGAGAAGACCTCCGAGGTTATCCAGTGTTGCTTAAGACCACCACAAAACCGAAAAACTAAAATTTTTCTAGGGTCAGAAGTTGACAAATCCAGCTCTCCACAACGGATGCCTGATGTTGGACTGTGGATGTGCCCAGGTGACCACGGGGAGCCAGGGAAGACCAACAGGGATCAGGGATCACCGGGGCTCCCTGGGGATCATCCAGCGCGGATCCTCCCGTGGGGTTTGGAGCTGGAGCAGCGCACGGAGCTCTTCCCGCGCTCTGGGCACTCACGGCGCTGCCCTCAGTGGTACTTCCACTGGTGTCTGGCCAAGAGGGAGCTCGCCGAGAAGCTCTTCCCACACTGGGGACACTCACGGGGCCCCTGCCCGGAGTGGATGAGCCGGTGCTTGACCAGGTAGGTGTGGAGCTTGAAGCCCCGATTGCAGTCGGGGCAGCGGAAGGGCTTCTCCCCCGCGTGCGCGCTCTGGTGCCTCTGGAGCGTGGAGTTAACCCGAAACCTCTTCCCGCACAGCACGCACTCAAAGGGCTTCTCCCCGCAGTGGCTTTTCTGGTGGGAAGCCAGGCAGGACCTCGTGCTGAAGCTCTTCCCACACTGCCCACACTTGTAGGGCCTCTCCCCGGTGTGGCTCCTCTGGTGGCACACCAGGCCGGCGCTCGTCGTGAAGCTCTTGCCGCACTGCCCACACTCGTAGGGCCGTTCCCCCGTGTGGCTCCTCTGGTCCCCAGGCACGGGGTGACACCGTTTTGGGACAAAACACAGCAGTGCCACCATGGTGGGACAGAGGCTCACAAGGGGGTGGCCTTTGTCCCCAAGCTGTGGCACCGTTTTGGGACAAAACACAGCAGTGTCACCACGGTGGGACAGGTGGTGACAGAGGGGGTGGCCTTTGTCCCCAGCTGATCCTGTTCGGGCTCAGCAACCAGCTGGTGGTGGCCTTCAAGGAGG